ATGCCTCAAAGTTTCAGAAGTTAACTATGGAGTATGACCCAAGCCGAGTTTAAGTTCTTGGTAAGGAATGGCTTATTCTTGTGTTCAGCAGGAAGAAAGTTGTAGGAGTGTAATATCTCAAACTGATGAGTTAGTTGTTGGTGTCTCCAGTGAACAGCCTAAAAATAGTAACCAAGTAAATCAAGACACATGAGAGTTCTTGGAAGCTTAATGGCCAACTAACCCAAGGTTGTGGAGGTAGGGAAAATGGTACAGCAAGACCACAACCAAATTTTTATGACTATAGAAACACCATAACTGGTGAAGCATCAAATGTTAGAAATTCTTCTAATGAAGAGATACAAATAAAATTTTTGGCAAAGTTTAATTCTCAAATAGCCACTATTGCAACTTCCAACTTTGTTAAATCAGGTATTGCGTTTCTCGCTTATCTCAAAAATAATTCGTAGTTATAGATTCAGGAACTTCAACCCATATGACAGGCTCTTCAAAATTATTTGAAACCTATACTTCGTGCTCAAGTAATGATAAAGTCCACAGTGCAGACAAATCACTATCCTACATCACCAGTACGAGTTCCATTACTTGCACTCCTTGCATTACACTTTCATCCATCCTTAATGTTCCTGACTTTCCTGATAGCCTTCTGTCTACTAGTGTAATTACAGTTTACCTTAACTGTAAAGCTCAGTGTTATCCTTCTTGTTGCGGTTTTTAGGAACTGAAAACAGAAAAAGCAATGAGCTACCAGTGACTACAAGACGCCTCTATGTATTGGTGGAAAGTAACTTCTCACTGGTTTCTCAACACAACCAAGCCATGATAAATGCCCCTGGGTCTGACAACCAACAAGCGATCCAACTTCTTCGGCAATTAGGTCATCCCTCTTTTTTTCTGAAAAACTTTATCCTAGCATGTTTAGACCTTGTAAATCTGAGCCATTGATTTGTGATGCCTATAAATTTAAAAAGCACGGCTTAATGAAAATTTAATAAACCTTGGAGATTCTTCACAAATCATTCTTCCTTGGAAATGACTGCAAACTTCCTGGTTGCCCTGACATCAATGAGGAATTTATTAAGGAAACCTGGGTACCCTGGGTCTCATTATAGCTTTCACCTCTACATTTGGGATGATGCCTTCAGATGTTTTTTTGAGGCTATTAATTCTAGGTGGATTTTATTCCCCATCAGCCCATCTTTTGTGTTTGAGGACAAGCACATTTCCGAGGGAGATAAATGTTATGTACTAAAACTACTTACAAGGCCTAAAAGGCTTTTCTGTGAGGGAATAAAGATATCAAGAGAAGGTTCACACACATTTTTCTAATACTTTACTCTTGGAGATCATCTAGTTCTCTCTAAACAAGTCCAGATCACTTTAGTGAACATAGTGCCAAAAGAAAGTTGCAGAAATTACAGTCTGCAAATCCTCTTTCCAATTTCTCAAATCCAAACTATGATCAGATCCTAAATTAGGGACATTATCGATTAAGCATTAATTAATGCTATCAGATATGTGAAATGGGATTCTTCAGATCATCCTCCATAGCACTGACCAATGCTGTTAAAAAGCCACCTCAATGCCAATATAGACCTATTCATGAGCACTTACACAACAATTTATTAAAGAAATGGAAACAATGAAAATTGTTTTACAAGTTAAGCATGGAATGGATGAGTAGGGAAATTACAAAGAACATTTAGATTTTCTTTGAAATGATAACTTAAAATACAAAAGCCATGAAAAGATTTTAAATACGAAAAATCAAACCTTTTATTTGCTGAAGGAACTTGTGATGCTTTTGCCTCTTTTTTCTACGGTGAAAGGACAGATGCAAGTCAACAAAGATTTTTCACAATTTACAAATTAGAAAAGATAAGGAAAAAAAAAAGATATAAGCCATGCCAAAAGGCCAAAAAAAGAGCACATACCACCAATTGTTCCCTATGCTCGGCAAGGAGAATCATATCCTTAAAAGGCAAAAATCTCATTTCCTCCTCAGGTGTTTCAAGCAAAGTTTGGTCCACTAGCAAGAGAGATTGCATTAGAATAAATAATAATGTCTTATTAAACCCACAATACTTGATGCCAAAAAAAGTTGCAGGGACTAACATTTTCTCCTTCGACGAGTTGAACAAGAGAACTTCTTTGGGGGCTCTTGACTTGATTGATCTGGTGCTTCATTCACTTTTTCACGCTTTCGGACTGGTTTTTCCTTCTCAGTTGCAGGTTTCTTTGATTTTCTCCCACTTTTTTGTGATTTTCCTTCTACTGTGTATTCACTATTATTATCTTCATTTACATCAGAATTACCAGGACCTTCAGCTGGATCCTCAGGCTCATCAATCCATTCACGAGCACTTACCCGCTTCCTTAGCTGACTTGAAGTTTTGCCATCTTCAGGATGCTCAGTAGTCAAGGAAGATTTTCCAGACTTTTGCGAAAGGCCTGAGACTGCGGAAGCTTTTCTTTTCTTATTTTCTGAGCTCTGAGAATGCTCAATAAGAAACAAAAGATGTTGCAAGACAAATTAACATAACTAACAAAAGTGATTTGATTATGTTAACCAATTAATACAATAGAAAACTTTTACCAAAATATTACCAGTTCTTCAGATGTTTCAGGAACATTCTCTGAATGCAACAAATCCCCAAATACAGCACCGTCTGAGTGAGAAGTATCCTTTCTCAATTCTTCATTAGTTGGGAGTTCAGAGGTAGTAATATCTTGGTTAGTATGAGCATCAAAGCTCATGGATGTGTAATCAAGAATATCATCAGTTTGAAAAGCACGAATTGAGCCTTCATCATTGCGTTCCATTTCATAAGGAACAGATTGAGAATTTGGTGGATGCATATTACATGTAACTGCATCAGCTTGAGGGATGTTAGCACCAGCTTTCTCTTCTCCAGTTTGTAGCTTAGACTTAAGCTTCGGTTTAGGTTGGAACTTTCCAGTACGTCGACCTATATCAACAGAATAAATGAAAATAAAAAAAATACTTCCAAATCCGATACAGAATAAAGAGAAAATAATTACACACCTGCTGCAGTGGGAATCTCATACATAATATCTAAAGGTTCTAGGTCCCACAAAAGCCCCCAGCTTCCTGAAAGTACCCAAAATTTTTATTAAATTTATTCAAGTTAAATTATAACATAAAAATTTACCACGAATTGTAACAAGTATCGTTACCTCCATTTGCAAAATCGAATTGTCACTATGAAGATTTCCATCACTGGAATTTGTCCATATTATCGGGTCTTGAATCACAAGAGATGGTGCTTCTCCTTGATGAGCCGGTAACTCTCTACTAGAAAGAAAGTCTCCCGCATCAGTATTTACAGCACAGGACACTGGTAACCCGTTATCAGGTTGGGTACCAACATCAGCGTCTTGCAACTTGGTTTTATTACTCACTGCCAATAATTAATAGTAATAATTCAGCGTAGTGCTTAGATTCAAATGAGATTTCTCCAACAGGTCAGAAGAAAGTTCCACATCACCTGTCCCACTACTAGACTGCCTGAGGAAATCATCCAGACATTCCAAACCAGAAAATATATCTGCATTCTGAAAATAATAACTTGTCAAAACGTGAGATAAAGAATTAACAGAATCAAAGTAATATATGATTGTTTTACCTCTCCTGTGGATCTTCCGAAGCTAGAGTGTGGATCACCACAAGTATCTCCAGTACCTAAAGATCTAACGAACTGCATTTTATCAGAGATATTAGGGACTGAAGTAAAAGGCTCTTCTGTTACAACATTTGAATGGGACGAATGAACTTCTCCACTTGTTCCTTGCCTAAGCACAGGCTTGGCCCTAGGTCGAAACTTGCCACCAGCCCTAGCTGCCACATATTTAATAAAACTACTCAGCTCCTTTAAGAAAGAACAATATTTGGTCAACAATCAATGACCAGAATGCTAAATGAAAAAATAAATCCAGATCAAGCTCTAATGATCCACCTAAACCCAATACAGAGTTTAAACTTGTATTTGATCAAAGTATCACTTACCATTGGCTGCAGCAGGCTCTGAAAATATATCGTCTATATCCATGGAGTTTGGCTATACAGGCAGAGTTGTCTGGTCTGGTAGCAGTCTATGAGCAGCAAGTAAAAGCTAATCAGAAAAGAGAATGACAACTGTACTTGATCAAAGTATCACTTTCGGAACCACAAGCTGCTAACTCTTGGAAACTAGGGAAACAAAGAAAATATAAACATGAAGAGTTCCAATATTTTTCCAATTTCAATTAGCATTGCTTTATTCAATTAAACCAAAAATTGTCATGATTTACATTGAAAAACTAACTACAAAACACTACAATGGAAACTAAGTCTATAGGAATTCTTTCAAATTTTTGTATATCCTTTTGACATTTTGCAAAAATAAGGCCAATCAGAACTACATCCCAACCCAGCTATATTATAATTTTGTTACAGACTCTGCTAGTTCATTACAACTCCACAAATACAAAAT